TAATAATAAAATAATTTCTGTCTTATAATTTATAAGTTATTCATATTTTATGAAATAGTTTTATTTTGACAATAAAGATGCTTTTTATTGCTTTAAAAACTGTGTAATATATGATTGCAAGTTCAAGAAAACTTCACACTAATTAATTTGTATACAGTTTACCCCATGTAGATAATTTTAATCATTTCTGATTTATAAATAGTACATTCATTTTTCTACTAAATTGAAAATGTATATATTTTATTTATAAAATTCATCAACTAGATGAAGAACATTATCTGCTGACAAGTTTTAAATGGCAATATAAAATGTAGGACTTGGAAAAAAATGAATGTTGATTCAAATTTTACCACAAAGTGCTCCATCAAACAGCAAACCAAAGCAATTTTCATAAGCCTGTGTTTGAAATAGCTGCAATTTATATTTAAAATCTCAGTGGAATTATTTTTGTAATAACCATGGCTTTTAATAAGTTAAGAAAAAAATACAAGTTTATCTGTAAGTATTTCTCTGCAAACACATATTCCACAGTTCAAAGTAAGAAAAGGATCTCTTGTATTTGGATTTGCGTGTGTGTGTGTGTGTGTGTGTGTGTGTGTGTGTGTGCGCTATTTTTGCTGTGTGAGGCATATAATTTTTTTTCTTTTTTCTTTTTCCTTTTTTGGTACCGGGGATTAAACCTAGGATTGCTTAAGCACTGAGCAATATCATCAGCTCTTTTTAATTTTTTTTTTAATTTTGAGACAGGGTCTCATTAAGTTACTGAGGCTGACTTTGAACTTGTGATTCTTCTGCCTCAGCCTCTCAAGCTGCTGGGATTACAGGCGTGTGACACCACACCCAGCTGAATTTCTTTATATATAAGACTCCTTAAGTTAACTTTATCTACACACAACTTCCAAGAATTTTTTCCCCCCTTTGGAAAACAGTAAAGAAATGGTGTGGTAATTGATCTATGGTTAGCAATGCAAGTCCTCTTCACTTGAAATCAGTATCTAAATTCTTTTTTTTTTTGTACTGGGTATTGAATTCAGTATGCTCTACCACTAATCTACGTTCTCAGCCCTTTTTGTTTTTTTATTTTGTAATAACTTCACTACGTTGCCCAGGGTGGTCACAAAATTTTCCATCCTCCTGAGTCAGCTTCCCACGGCTGTTATCTGCCTTTTCTGGAGCAGGCCATGATTATCACTGAGCAAACGCTGCTTTTTGGGTCTGGGGTTGTGGCTCAGTAGTAGAGCGCTCACCTAGCAAGTGTGGGACACTGGGTTCAATCCTCAGCACCACATAGAAATAAAAAATAAAGATATTGTGTCCAACTAAAACAAAATATTTAAAAAACAAAACAAAAAACATTACTTGTTGATGGCTGGTACTGGACCTTACCAAGTAAGACTTTGAAAAGCTCTTACATGTATGACTAAGGTAAAACCTAACTAAGGAATTTTCATTATCTTCAGATTCTGGGATGTAGCGTGAGACAAAAGCATAACACCACTAATAACAAATGACTTCACAAGACAAATGGTGAGTCACTGTCCCAGGTAAACTTTGTTGAATGGCATCTATGTTCATAAATGCTTTTTTGCTTAGAAAGAGCAAATGTTTTGAAGAAAAGTAACCATTCAATTCCTAAATGTATGATCTAAGTATAAATAAGTATATATCAGTTTGGCTTTCACCCAAGCAGACCCTGAGATAAGGACTTAAAGGGAGAATTTATTTAGGACGTGATTCTGGAAAGAAATCATGAAGGATAGGGAAGTAGAAATAGGAAGACAAGAAGGAAAAGCAAAATAAGAATAAATTCTTTATGTCAATACTGTGAGCAGCTAGGAGTTCCTCAAAGATATTTGAAGGAAGGTTCTGTTATGATTTGGATATGTGGTGTTCCCCATAAGTTCCTATGTGAGATGATACAGAAACATTCAGAGGCAAATTAATTGGTTACAAGAGGCATGACATAATCAATGGCTTCATTCACTGATGTGGATTRACTGTGTGGTAACTACAGGCAGGTAGGGTATGCATGGAGGAGGTGGGTCACTGGGGTATACACTTTGTTCCTGATGAGTGGATCTTTCTTTCTACTTCCTTGTTGCCATGTCCTGAGCATCTTTCCTCCAACACACCCTTCCACCATGATGTTCTGTCTCACTGTGGTCCCAGAGCAATGGAATCAGCCATCTGTGGAATGAGACCTCTGAAACTATGAGCCAAAATAAACTCTTCTTCCTCTATGTCGTTCCTGTCAGATCTCTTGGTTACTGTGACAAAAAGCTGACTAAAACATAGTCCTTTCAGAATTATCTCTGGAAAACAGGACGCTGGGTCATTTATCCACCAGAATGCTCCTCTGGGCAGGTTTCTGGGACTGTTGTGACCTGTTGAGTAGGAAAAATTTGGACAACTGGGTTGGTGGGGTTGCATTTTACCAGTTATAATCATCAGGGGTAGATGAAATAAGAAAATGTACCTAATACAATAGATTACAGATGATGTTTTGCAGAAATAAATATTGTGATGGCTAAAAAAAAAGTAGTTTTTGCAAATTCCTATTTACATTCCAATTTAGCCCCAAGACCAGTTTCTGTTAATTCTTCTCTGCTCTATTCTCATGAGGTTACTTCTGTTCTATAGCATAGCCTTAAGAAATCACAAGGAAAAAAAACATGAGATGAACATTTTGGTTTTAATGGGCTTAATTTATTTTTCATATTCTTTTGATACTTTTACTGCATAACTGAGGGAAAAAAGTTATTTTATCTCTTACCTTTTCAGTGCTTTTACTTCTGAAACAAATTAGATGGTTTCTGGGGACCATTTGAGCCCAGAATTCATTGTGATTTGCATTCTTCAAGCTAGATCATCAACCAGTCTTGCTTCTAGCATATTACTTCCATAATCCATCTGTACAGAGTTAGTGCATGTGGATATATTATAAAAAGTTTAGAAGATTACTGGAGATCATTGCTTCTACTCATATTTTCTTTGGAGTCTGTTAGAATGCCTGAGGTTTCTCATTATATTTGCTTCTTTGAGTTAAAGTGCATTTTCACAATGTCTGTGGAAGATATCCATTATAGGGGCCAAGGGTGTAGCTCAGTGATAGAGAGCTTGCCGAGCACGTACAGGACTCTGGGTTCAATCTCCAGCAATAAAGAAAAAAAATCAGTATATGAAATGTACTTGGAACAGTAGATATTATTGTTTAAAGAAGTTTAAAACATGATCATGAGGAAAAATCTCCCAATTTGAGGTACACATCAGATTGAAAAATTGGGTTCCAACTAAAAAAACTTCCGTATTGCCTAGATAATGACCAGAATATAACCAATCATAAATTTGATAATTCTTGCAATGACAAAAATTAACAGGAGTGCATGTGCTGGAGAAGCTGTCTTTGTAGTTATAAAATCACACCACTAAACTAATACCACTTGGGAGATGCAAGTAGAAAGCTACTTTTTAAAAAGGCAAATTATTTTTTTCCTAGAATATCCATTTCTTTCTAATTTATAGGGGAAAAGCCAATTTCCTTATTAGTTTCACCAGTATGTTTACCAATAGGGGAAGAACACTTCTCAGCTCAAAAGGCTTAAGGAGAGTGCAATAAATTATTTAGCTCTGTTCTTTAAAAGCACATACCTACTTGCAAAACCAAATGGAGAAAGAGGGACAATCAGATATTCTCTGCTTTCAAAAACTGTGGCCCAGGACACCAGAAAAAGGAACAGTGACTCCATCCCTTTCCCCTGTAAGGTCCTGTCCCATGTGCAATCAATTACCAGGGTCTGAAAATCCCAAAGGAATTATGACCAGTGTAGGATATGATTTTGATGATTTCCTGCTTCTCTTATAGTATTTTTATGCCGTTTATTCGACAATGTTTACACATTAAAATGATAATTTATTATWCAATGATACAAATCAACACTTTAGGGTATAACAGGATCTTCAAAATTACAATTAATTCGAACACTTTCATTATCTTTTCTTGAGGAAGTCGATAGGTACAGAAGTTAATCAGGTTTCCCCATATCACACAGTAAATGGTAAGGTCAAGACTAGAAATGATGTTTCTGACTTTGGAAAAGTGGAAAAGTACCTATCATGTTTTTTTTGGGGGGGGGAGTAAATAGGAAGTGCTGTCTCTGTGGACAGTTCTTAGTGAGCAGCCAAGGCAGGCTAAGGTCAAGGCTAAGAGCTCCTACCCTGATGTGAGGGTCCCTGCAGCAATTCTTTAGAGCTTTAAAAAAAAAAAAAGTAAAAAAGACAAACAGGATGAAATTTAGCTCATTGTTTCTAGAAAGCATTTTTTTTTATTGCTGACATTGTTTCAAATTGTGGACCCACAGCTATTATTGTTTTTAAATTCTCTATAGACAATGTGTCCTGATGTGGATGACTCCTATTACCTGTCATTGGTGTGACAGGATGAAGCAATCCACTTCAAATACAGTGCAATGTGTTGAGAGCTTAACTGCTCCTAATTATTAGAGGAGATTTTGGCCAGGATAACTCTGATAATAAATGCAAGTGAGTTCTGAGCAGGTACTAGCCTCTGTTGTAGAGTGCTTTCTTTTCCCCAGAGTCATTCAAATTCAGTTATTGGCTTAAGATTCAAAAGAATAAGCAAATATGAGAGAATAAATACTTGTTTCTTTTTTATAATCTGATCATCATTGCAAACCCTAACACTACACCAAATTGTTACTTGAAACTGAATGAATGTTTGTTTTTTTTTTTAAATTGGACTATTGATTTATTTAAATTTATTTTTTTCACTTTGAAAATAAAAGCAGAACTTAGCAAATCAGGTGATTAAGTTTGGCAGAATAGCTGCTGTACTAGCAAACAAATTGTGCCCAATAAAAATCCACTCTGAATTTCCCTCTCTGTACCAGTAGAAATGAGAAACTAGCTGGGAATATAAGAAGAATGCTGATTGGCTAGGTCACAGTAAGCAGGATGCATAAAAGGCAGCTGTATAACATCTGGGTAGGTCAATGATACGTCCATCTAGACTCAACTCCCCGCTCTTCAGTGTCTTTTTAACATGAGTGGGTGCCCATTTTTAGGAAACAACTTTGGGTGAGTATTGACCTGTATTCTAAGTGGAGTTTAGCTCTTACAGGTGCCAGGTATGATCATTTTTAATCTCTGAATTTAAAGAGAATTGAAAATTATCACCTTTCTTAAATTAGAAGTTTAATCACTCAATTATTAGTTAACTGTGTTTTCTCAAGCTCTGTTTTTTTTTCTCCTCGTTTATTAAATCCGCAGATATGCTTTTAAAAATCTATCTATAGAAGGCAGTGAAGAAGACAAATCACAAGCTGGTGTTAATAAAGCCATCAAAGGGGGTCTCGTTTATGGGGACTACCTGCAGGTAAGTAGCAGGGTCTTAATGATATTTCACTTCCAGTGTTAGGTTCTAAATTCTGCTATATGACTTTGTTTTTCCTGCATCATCAATTGACCAGACTTAAAGATACCTCCTTTTCATGAAAATKTATGCTTTTTCAATTTCTGATTGAAAAGAAAAAGAGATTCTATATGAAAAGTCACCTCTCTCATAGAGGTGTAGTAAAAAGCACAGAATTCAGAATCTGGGCAGAAGAGTATAAAAGATAAATTGCAGTTTAGATAACAGGCAGACATTGCACAATGTAGATAAATAAGACGTGGTCAATGAATCACAACCTAGGTAACTGGAAGTGTATCTCAAAAATGAATTATTTTTATAAACTCTCTTCATAAAGGAGAAATATAAAGGGCAGTGAGAATCTTCTTGAAATCATTAGTAAATAAAAGAGAAATCTCAAGTCTCAACAGGTGAAGTATGTGGATATTATTCTGAGCTAAATTTCATCCTGTTTGTCTTTTTTACTTTTTTTTTAAGAAGCAAAAATAAGGGACTTTGATGCTTTGATCAATGGGCTTCTAAGGATGAACTGATAAAGAATGTTAAGAACTTCACAGACTAGGCTCTTTAGTAGAATAAAAGAACAAAGGACCAGAAGATGCAGTCAGCTAAGCCAGTTGTCAAGCTTTTGTCACACTCCCATGATGAGACAGGCAAGATGAGACTTCTCAGTGATGTTATTGCACTTGTTATGACAAAGTTCTACCAAATCAAATTTTTCTAAGGACAAAAATCCCAAATTCAACTCACTTTTTATGATGAAACTTCCTACATTCATTTTTTGAAGGAAACTAGATTGGTTTCTGAGAATCTGGGACTTTGGGGACCTTTTCCAGAGTTATACTCTACTTCTTATTAAAATTGATTAAAAAAAACTCAAGTTCTGTAATTCTAAAATCAGTCTTCCTATTTTTCATTTAAAGTTGGATAAAGTTTTGAATGCACAAGAACTTCAAAGTGAAATAAAAGGAAATAAAATCCACGATGAACATCTTTTTATCATAACTCATCAAGGTAAGTTGCAAAGGGCTGGACAATAACTAATTGTTGGGTATTTATTATTGAAAATGAGGACAGCTACCATTCTTTTATCTAGAAGATGGTGAAAGATCAAGGAGTTGTTTTTGTTATTGGTGCTTGAAAATATTTTGCTCACAGATTAATTCTCATAGTATCCTTTTGGGGCATCACAATAGTCATTTTTATGTCTCTTCATTGCTAATTGGGTCAAATAGGACTTCAGGTTTATCCTTAACTCCAAGGGGACTTTTCATCGCTTGGAATTTCACAAAGAATTTTCAAGTTAAGATGGTGCTATTTCTTGATTTGTAACATTAAAAATYTACTTTCAAGAAATAGATTGTTCAAATTTATTGCAGATTTACATAATTTTAGAAAAATCTGGTACTGGGCAAAAATGTGAATCTATGATCAAATGTGTTTATCCTTTCTGTATTTCCAGTTTCAGAGCAGCAGTTTTAAGGAGTTATAGACCTTCTAAATTTGGAAGTTCCCTGCACTCTGAAATTGTGTGCAAATTTCCATGAATATGTATCTTAAAGAGTTCTATGACCCATGATATCTCGAACACTTACTCTATGATTGTCAGTGCCATAATACAGTCCTGTATCAACCAGGACCCAGTAACTCATGCTTGTCCATGTCCTATTTCTACACATCTTCCTCTTTCCTACTAATTCTTTGTGTTCTTCTCTCAAATGGGTGATTGCCTCACTAGTGGGATAAAATGGCAAACTCTGCCAAGTAAAGAAACTAAAGGTGTAAAATACTTGGTTTTATGTGTTTTTCTCCTGTTTTATATATGTATTTTTACTAGTTGCTTATCCCAACACAAAATCAATAGGAAGCCAGGCATGGTGGTACACACCTGCAATCCCAGTGACTTGGGAATCTGAGGCAGGAGGATTGTAAGTTTGAGGCCAGCCTCAGCAACTCAGGAAGAGACTCAGTAAATTTTGTGTGACCCTGTCTCAAAATTTAAAAATAAAAATACAAAGGGCTGGCAATATAGCTTACTAGTAGAGGGCCCCTGTATCCCCAATACTAAAGAGGGGAAAAATCAATGAGAGAAGAATCATGGCATAGTATTACAAACTTGRAATTCAGAATCTATTTAGAACACTATCTCTACTATTATGTGACCTTAATCAAGTTGCTTAGGTCTGAGAACCTCTTTTCCCCCCATCAGTAAAATGGAGAGAATAACTGTATGTTCCCATTATAGAAATTCTAGAAAAATGAAATAGATAATGTTCATTAAGCAATTAGCCTGAGTTTTAGCACATAATGAGCATGCAATGAATGGTGGCTATCATTATTTGAAAAGGACACTTTCCTTCCACCCTTAAGTATAGTATATAGGCAATAGGTTATGGGAATAGCCACCTGCAAGGTGAGACCTGTAAAAGGGATACAGAAGATAAATAATCTTACCAATAAATATTTTCTCTTTACCCAAACATGAAAATAAGATCCCTCATATCTCCTTAAACATAGATTGAGATTATAACTGGATTTTCCCATTATCATAGAAACATATCCCTTATCCATATGATAGAGCTAAATAGAATGCACCAGAGACATCTAAGATGATTGACTTCAGTGGTCACTAATTAATACATTGACTGACTATTTATTAATTTATTTGTTATACAATTACCCAGTATTTATATTATGTAAAACACTGTGCTAAGTACTGAGGAAAAATATTAGATGAATATGACAAAATCTGTACTTTCTAGGTACTTCGAGTATTAAGGGTAGGATAAGTTAATGGAGAGAACCATTTTTGCTTATCCTGGATAGTCTAGTGACACAAAGGAATCAAAATGTCTCCCATTTCCATCATGTTACTACAAGCCTTAATATTTTGAAACATAGGCTTCTATGTGTAGGTGTCTAATTGATCATTGTACAAGTGAGTCAACTGAAGTTAAGGAAAATTAAGATTTCCACCCCACTTACAATTGTTAATAACTTCCAATGCATTGATTCTAACTATGCTTCTTCCAATACCCCTTGCTCTGTCATTTTTCTTTATTTTTTATTGATTTTATTATTTTTTTAAATAYATGACAACAGTGGAATGCATTACGATTCTTATTATATAGAGAGCAGTTTTTTGTATCTCTGTATACAAAGTATGTTCACGCCAATTTATGCCTTTACACAGTACTTTTTTGCATTAAATTCTTAATACACATATATAACACAATTTTTCATATCTCTGTATATAAAGTATGTTGACACCCAATTCAAGTCTTCATACATGTACTTTGTATAATGATGTCCATCATATTCCACCATCCTTGCTAATCCCCTGCCCCCTCCCTTTCCGTCCCACCCCTCTTCCCTATCTAGAATTAATCTAATCCTCCCAAGCTCTCCCTCCCTACCCCACTATGAGTCACCCTCCTTATATCAGAGAAAACATTCTGTATTTGTTTTTTGGGGATTGGCTAACTTCACTTAGCATTATCTTCTCCAGTGTCATCCATTTACCTGCAAATGCCATGATTTTGTTCTCTCTTAATGCTGAGTAAATTCCATTGTGTATATATGCCACTTTTTTAATCCATTCATCCACTGAAGGACATCTAGGTTGGCTCCACAGTTTAGCTATTGTGAATTTGTGCTGCTATAAACATTGATGTGGCTGTGTCCCTGTAGTATACTATTTTTAAGTCCTTAGGGTATAGTCCAAGGAGAGGAATAGCTGGGTCAAATGGTGGTTCCATTCCCAGATTTACAAGGAATCTCCATACTACTTTCCATATTGGCTGCACCAATTTGCAGTCCCACCAACAGTGTACATGTGTACCTTTTCCCCCACATCCTCGACAACACTTGTTGTTGTTTGTCTTCATAATAGCTACCATTCTGACTGCAGTGAGATGATATCTTAGAGTAGTTTTGATTTGCATTTCTCTCATTGCTAGAGATGATGAGCAGTTTTTCATATATTTGTTGATTGATTGTATATCTGTAATTTTTCTTTTCTTTTTTTTTAAAGAGAGGGGGGGAGAGAGAGAGAGGAGAGAGAGAGAGAGAGAGAGAGAGAGAGAGAGAGAGTTTTAATATTTATTTTTTAGATTTTTGGGCGGACACAACATTTCTGTTTGTATGTGGTGCTGAGGATCGAACCTGGGCTGCATGCATGCCAGGCTAGCGCACTACCGCTTGAGCCATATCCCCAGCCCTGTCATTTTTCTTTAATGACAATTTTATTGTTGTGGTTCCCCATGAAAGGGGAAAACAAATTCATTCAGAAGGTTCTGCTTAAATCCTCCAACAGAGATGCTTTGACAGAACTCTGGCTTAAGCAAATGAGTTTGATCAGAGAAGATGTACTGGACAATGATGAATCAATTGCTGTGAAGTTGCCCCTGGAATTATCCTTAGGACTAATATAAAGCTTTGTCATTATCATTTTACCACAAACATCTGGTGACTTTCCCATTTGTGCCTGTGAATTGCTAGATTTTTTTTTTTTTTGCAAATAAACAGAACAGAGCATTTTAAGTAACTCAACCTTAAGTTTTCAATTTTACTACCCTACACTATTTCATTTAAGTTAATGATTATTAATTTCTCACCTTGTAATTGAAATTGAGTATCACTACTTTTTCCCTGCATGCCTGTGGCTTCCACATAAGAAGTGAGAATTAGGTTGCATTCTATGTTCTAAAAGACCTAAACAATATTTTGATTAAGAGGAACTAGTGTAATAATAGTAAATATAAAGTATATAGGTAAAAGGCCTGACATATTTAAACAATCAATAAATGAGGCTATTATAATGTTAACACTAATATTTATAGCCTAAATGGGTCTATATTAATATTGATTGGTTTTAAAGTTATATTTTCATTTCTTTTCAATATGTTAAATGTATCTTTTATATAATTATCGTCCAAGAGTTTCTTGTAATTTTCAAATTGAGATTTTTTTTTAACAGCTTATGAACTCTGGTTTAAGCAAATCCTTTGGGAGTTAGATTCTGTTCGAGAGATCTTTCAGAATGGCCATGTAAGTTATGACATGATATTCTTTGGAAAAATGTAGAAATTACTAATGTGAAAAACTTAATATTGAAACCACTCTTTGATGATTTATTTTTTAAAAACACAGTTTAGACAGTATTTTTCCCCCCAGAGAAGACAGTTTAGATTTATTTTCCCTGTGCCATTGCTTTAAGATTCAAATTTCAGTTTCTAGTGCTTAGAACTCAATAGTTTTCTCTTGAAAGCTAGGAGGAATAAAAAGAAATTACAAATAAGCAGAAAAGAGAAAAAAATTCACAAATAATTTTACACAGAACTGACTAATATAATAATTTTGCTATGGTTCTTTCCAGAACAATTAATATTAAATAGTAATACTGGAAAATTAAAAAAAAAAAAAACAGTCAAGTTTCAAAGTAATGGCAGGTGACCAGGCTAACTAACAGAGATCCTTTAATTAATAGGCAGCGGGTTTGTATTCTAATGCATAGCAGCTGTGGGAAGGTAGGAGCAATAATGAGGAAAGTGGAAAAGACAGAGGAGCAGGAAGCTGAGGAAGAGCAGGAAGAAAGTAAAGGGAAGAAGAGGAGGAAGGGTAGTGGGGAAGAAAATGACAAAGAGGACAAAAAGAATGAGAGGCTGGCAGGGCAATGCTTCAGCGGAAGGTGGACGTTCCAAGCTCAGTTTCCCATGTTCTCAAGCCCTTTCTGGATAGTGCCCATGGACAGGAAAGACTGCACACATACCAGACAGCACCCTCTCATGGATATGAGTGCCATTCCCAGTTTTATCTTGGCAACTTCTGCTTTCTCTGAAGAGCAGAATTATTCACATGTTGCTTAATCCTTTCCTAGAAGTCCCCATGTCACCCTGACCTTTCTTCTTTGAAGCAAAAATAAAAGAGAAACTTATTTTGGAATCAGTGGGAGTCGTATTCCAGAATTTATTTCTACTTTACTTCCATGTATTTTCTGTTTATTCTAAAGAAATAAAAAGAAAATTCTGATCTTGCAGAATTTCTATTAGTTCAACATATATTCTGGCAAATTTTAGTGCTAACGTTCATCTTTAATATCTACCTAAAATCAATAGGATGCATCGTCATTTAACTCTACTTTGCATCTTCTCAGAGTTTTATACCTTCACCTCCAGGTCAGGGATGAAAGGAACATGCTCAAGGTTGTGACCCGGATGCACCGAGTGGTGGTCATCCTCAAGCTCCTGGTGCAGCAGTTTTCTGTCCTGGAAACAATGACAGCCTTGGACTTCAATGACTTCAGGTGTGCACCCRTGGGATTCAGAAAACAACATAGTGGGGTTTATGTGACATGAGGAACCTGTTCTGCTGACACTTTAAGGATTTTGAGATCTTTAATCACAAAGCATTTGAAAAATTATTAAAATATTTTATGACTCATTTTTTACTTGTGAAAATAATATGATCAATTGGTTTCAATTTATCATTGTGTGCCATATTTTTTTTCCAAAAAGCATTTTAGATGATTTAATAATTGGCTAAAATAGTTAAAAAAATATGTATAATTAAGTTAAAAATCAAAATCTGAAAATACAAGAAACAGTAGTGATGTATATAAAAACATGTCAATCAAAGTGCCATAACTTATGTATTGAGCCACAAATTTTAGCTCAAAAATTTCAGGCAATTATAGCTGTGTGTGTGCATATATGTATGCTTTTTCTCGCCAAAATTAGAAAATTTTTCTCCAGAAATTTACTTTGAGTGCATTATATCTTGTAATGTGCAATATCCCAAATATATTTGACAATCAAAGGAGCAGTGGTAGAATTCTTTGTGATAGATTAAAAATTTTATTTTTAACATCATTTAGGTGAAGGACATTTATAAGGATATAAGAGTTTGGGGGTGATTTTTAGGGAGTTAGTTGTCACATTTTTATGTTACCTATTTTGTACTAGGCTGTATCTTATTTCTTTAATGTCCATTATCACACTGATGCTTACAATAGTACTAGAAAACAAGATGAATGATAATATCCAATAATGTAACTCATRGAAGGGATTAAATAATACTTGTAAAACATCTTTTAGCATTGTAGAATAAAACAGTTGCCTATGGCTTACCTATCTTTATCTTAGAAAAAATTAGCAAATACTTATATGCACACACACAATTACTAGTATATATGTACATACACACACAGACATATATGCACATGTAAACATACATATATATAGATACATGTGTATATAGCATTCAATATATTTATGTAAATTTATATAATATATAGTATCATGTATTCCAAACTATATATTATACATAGTGAAATATATCTGATATTTCACAAATCTACAATCTGTCTGACTTCAAATTGATTGACAGCTCATTTTCCTTATTTCAATAATGGCCCAATCATAGGTACAATTCCAGGTGGTTCATGTGTCTGCTCTTGGTATTATGCTGACAGTCCCTCACAACAGAAGAAATCATTGCAGTGATTTATACTGCTAACCCATTTCCCTTCTGCATTTATTCTCAGAGAGTACTTATCTCCAGCATCAGGCTTCCAGAGTTTCCAGTTCCGACTATTAGAAAACAAGATTGGTGTTCTTCAGAGTTTGAGAGTCCCTTACAATAGAAGACATTACCGTGATAACTTCAAAGGAGAAGACAATGAACTGCTGCTTAAGTCTGAGCAGGAGAAAACACTTCTGAAGCTCGTGGAGGTACAGGCTCATATACTGCTTGTAAAGTTTAATTCAATGCATTGATCTAATTGATTTAGTGTCTGCCACATCAGAATTTTAAAACTCATATCAAATAGAGATACAATTGTGGTATATAAGGAAAGAATAAAATTTTCCAAAATGCTAAACTTCTAAATTCAATTTATTAAAATTTTGAAAATATCAATACCTTTTTGGGACATCCAGAAATTTTTAAAATCAAGTGTATGTTAATATTTAATAACCTCATGTTATTAAAACAATACCTTTAAACATCCTTGCTGAGCAACTTTTAATCAGCTGATTTTTAGACTGGGTATGAAGAATTGTTCAATAAATTTTATTCTAAAATATAATGTAATATGAAATTTTCATTTCTTAAATAAGTTTAATTACCAAGAACATACTCTTCAGATTTTTTCCCTTCATATCCAAATTCTCTAGGGATATCTATACCTAGTCTTCAGAAATTATTAATTTGATTCTTCATAAGTAAATTACTAAATAAGAATTGTACTATTTTGAATTCTTTCACAAAGCCTTTTACTTTGCAATTTAAACTTTTCTCCTAGTGAATTATACTCTCCTTATTAATCCCCTGGATGTTATAAATGTGTCTTGATTACTACATTTCTATATATTATGATATAATGGCTTATAAAGATGAGGAGAAATTAAATCACAAAGCTATTTTCAAAATTAAATGTAGCTTAAATGATAACTCACAGGTGTGCAAAAATTCATTTTTACTTTTAGATTACAAAGTCTTGTGGAATATAAAAATGATTGGATTTTTTAAAGTTGCTAAGTATACTATAGTCCTGAAATGAAAAGAGATCATATCTTATGCTTTCTTCAGTTCCTAAAACATAAACTGCTTTTTTATATAAACCAGAATATATCATTAAAACAATGTTTAGATATGTTCATGGATTTCTAGCAGAATATTGGAACTTTTGTAATAGGTATTTCTTAAAAAAAAAGAGTAGATATTATTAATGATGATTGCCTTAATGATTAAGAAAATGAAATATATTAATTGCTCTTTCCTAAGAGAAGAAATTGGAGAGCAAGGAAAATAATTACAAATAAACTTGTGGCATGTTTTTTTCTAATTATGAATATTTCTTGTTTTAATTTTATAAATGATAGTTACAATGTATTTTAATTATTTTAAATTTTACTGTGTATTAACCTACAAAATAATATTTACTTAAGGCATGGCTAGAAAGAACACCTGGTTTAGAGCCACTTGGATTTAACTTCTGGGGAAAGCTTGAAAAAAATATCATCAAAGGCCTAGAAGAGGAATTTATAAAAATTCAGGTATTTATGATGCCATAAATATAAACACAGCTAATATAAATTTACTATRGAAGGAGAATTAAGAGTTTAATATTTTCTTGCTATTTCCTTAAGTTTTCATTTTTTTCTTTCACAAATGTGTCTTCTGGGCTATATTACATGATTAATTAAATTTTCTTCATGTGCAATAAAAATCCACTAAATAAAGACACTAAGATTTTGTGTGTGGTGACAAGCTGAGTTTAGTATATTTTTTCAATTTCAATTGAAAATTACAAATTATGATTAATTCTAGGCATAACTAATCACACAAAGAAGTAGTCAACCAAATATATTTAGCCATTTAACTTTAGATTTTTCTTATAATTTGCCATGTTCTTTCTTTTGACCAGAAATAATTATTTCTGCTTTAAAAATGCTGTTCATTCTTCATTTCCCTCAAGTTGCAAATCTCTCATCCTTTTTTCATGACTAAATTTCTTAAAAGAGTTGTTTAAATTCTCTATCTTGATAGATTGTATCAGAATAGTTCTTAAAAAGTGAACTTTGAAGTCATACTGCATGGGTTCAAATTCCACTTCCACTGTGGAACTGTGTGATAGTAAACACGTTACATAACCTCTCTTTGCTTCAGTTCTTATTAGTAAAATAGAGGAGTCTACCTCACAGAATTATTGTGGGCATTCCATTAGATTGACATTTGTAAAGCATTTAGAACAATGGTTAGTTCCTTATCTCTCATCTAACTCTCAACCTATACCTCATCATTCACAAATGGCGTCCATGTAAATAAACCCAATGGSCATTTTCAACATTAATTTTATTTAGCATCCCAACAACACTCAATATCAATGACTATTTATTATTATGAAATAATAATTAAAATAAAATTGAATAAAATAAAATAGTATTTTTAATAAATAGTGTTTCCATCCTTATTTTTTCCTTTTCTTTGCTTACTCATATATTTTTTTTTTCACAGAGCAATAAATGCTGGGGTTTTGAACACATTGACTTAGATCCTTTTTGTTCTATTGCTATATTCTTTCATTAGAAGATCTATTTTATAGCCATGGTTTTAATATCTTTTTATTCACCAATGATTATCTTTTTTACAAATCAAAAAATATTGAACATTTATCTCTGGTTTGGATATCTCCTTAGACTTCAGATCATATATTTACTATTCTATTTTATATTTCCTCCTGGTCCTCTTAAAAACACACCAATAAAACAAAACTTAGAAAATTGCCCCTTCCATCCACTCTCATACCAATGAGATCCTCTCAAAGTTAATCTCATATAAAACATGTAATTATCAATAGTCAACTGTGAGTGATCCTTGTGCCCAACCCCCTGAGCCACTTCTTTAAGCTATTACCAAATCCTACTAATTTTGTCTTCTGCATAACTCTCAAATATTTCTCTTCCACCTACCACCATCACTCAAGCAAAAACTGCCATTGTTTTTCTCCTGGACCGATGGGGTAGTATCTCAACTGTCCTGTCTACCTCCTCAGTATGGCTCCATTCCAGTTCATTTTTGACACTACAGCCTGAGTAACATTTTTGAAATGTACAACTGATCACATCTCCCAATTGCTTAAAGATTTTTTGTGTTTCCCCATTATTTTTAGAATAAAGATAAAAATCCTTAATGTCATCTACAAGACTTTCATGATTTCACTTGGTCTAACCACACTGAGCTTATTCCACTAGCACAGTCTATTTCTTTGTCTTTACACAATATTTTTGTATGTTATTCTCTGAGTTTAGAATATTCTTCACCAGGTAACTCTGTGCCATCTTTTGGGTCTTGGGTCAAGGAAGACTGACTTAGGAAAGCCTTCCCTAATCTCCTTACTATGGGTTACTATGGCACCAATATACTACATAGCACTGTTCATGGTTGCAATTTTATGCTTGGGTAATTATTCATACTAGATAAGGGGTGTGAGATTAGGGAACTCAATTTTTTGCTCACAGTTATTATCTCTATCAACTTCACATGAACATTTACTGGATAAATGAAAAATTAATTGACAATAATACCCAGTCTCTTTTACCACACTGTGTGTTTGTTCTGATGAAGAGAAGATTATTATATTAGCTTATTCACCCCCTTTGGTTAATTGAATTGTAAGTAGAACATGTGCAGTGGTCAGAAAAAATAAATTTTATTTTAAAAAACCAATAGATATCAAATGAATAAAAACATATCTAAATTATATGTACAGAATGCAATACTGGATATAGCATGTCAATGGAGTTCATGTTTTACTGACCAAGAATTCTAAACTTTTCTTAAGAACAATTATTTTAGTTTTATTATAAATAATTGCTATTTAAAATTCAATCATCATTGATCACTTGTTTCTGCAATTTTGTCATCTTGGTCCATTTTCATGATATTTATGAAGAATAAATATACAATTTCAGATTTTTACATCATTTAAACTTAAATAAACACATAGAGCCAGTGCATGTGTTAAAGGTCCCTTTTCATAAGAAATAATTTCCAAATTGTCATATAAAATGACAATATAAATATTCCAAGTATACTTTTTTCTGAATCTGACAGAATATTTCTCCTAAGTGAAATTGGCTTAAGAAGAAATTTATTCTTAGAGAGTATTAACGTAGTATTTTCCCTGAAGGCTAAAGAAGAGTCTGAAGAAAAAGAGGAACAGATGGCTGAATTTCAGAAACAGAAAGAGGTGTTGCTATCCTTATTTGATGAGAAACGTCATGAACATCTCCTTAGTAAAGGTAGGTATTTTTTCCCCCTAAGGTTCCTTTCCCTGGAATGTATAAATGTATCACAATATAATTTTAGAAGACTAGGAAACTTTATTTGGGGAACATAGAATGAAAATTGCTATTCTACTTATTGGAAATTATAGTAACAAGAATTGGATATTGTTGTCACTCATGGTTCTATGTTAACATATTTCTATGCCCAGTGTTCAAAGATACTAGCAACATTTTATAGTATATGCTATACATGAGGGATAGCAAGGTAAATTTAAAGTGTTTTTTTTTTCCAAGTAGCTCACAGCCTAAAAGGAAAAGAAAGAAAAATCATTTCAATTGTACATACTTTTGTAGAGATAAGAGGACACAAGAGCTACTCAGAGTATGAGGATGGCTTGGCAGAGATGTTTCCAAGATGATTTTTGGTGCAATTTATATTGTGCTATAATTTACTGAAACTAATTAACCAGTAAAATCAGTATCCTCATTATTCAATTTTTTCTTGTATTTGTTTCAGTGTATTGTGTTCATTGAATTTTTATTGTCAAGTACCTCAAAACTCAAACCTCAAAACTAGAAATAGACAGTAGAGCCGCACACAGTGGTGCATGCATATAATCCCAGCACCTCTGGAGGCTGAGGCACAATGATTACGAGTTCAAAGCCAGCCTCAGCAAAAGTGAGGTACTAAGCAACTTAGTGAGACACTGTCTCTAAATAAAATAGAAGACAGAGCTGGGGATGTGGCTCAGTAGTTGAGTGCCCCTGACTTTAATCCCTAGTATGAAAAAAAACCCAGAAAGAGTAGCATGAATCTGACATGATTTTCATATGTATGTGTGTGTGTGTGAATATATATATATATGTATGTATATATATATATATATATATGTATGTATATATGTGTGTGTATACACACACACACACACACACACACACACACACACAATGAATCTCTACATCATGTCCAATCATAAGACTGGGATCCTAATTAGAATGAATGTACTTCGTGTTTGTATGAATATGTCAAGATAGATTCTACTGTCTTATATGACTAAAAATAAAAAAGAAACAGGCAGAATAGATACAACATTGAATTTTTATTAGTACAAGGCATAGCAGTATGTGAAAATAGTTTCTATAAGGTGTAAAGTTGTTATCCTTAGTGTTCTCACAAACCTTGGTAAAGTGTGGAAAATTTTGTTTCTACAATGTAATTAGGAGTGAAGCCTTGTGTAAGAGCACACAGATGCTTTGATGTGGTCCTTATACTCCTTTTTTTTTAATTATTTKTTTTTATTGGTCGTTCATAACATTACATAGTTCTTAATACATCATATTACACGGTTGATTCACGTGGATTATGAACTCCCGCTTTTACCCCGTATACAAATTGCTGTATCACATCCGTTTCCCTTCCATTGATTGACATATTGC